GACAGCCACCATTTTCCTCTCTACCTAGGGATGAGCGTACGAGGGTATCCGCCTCATTTGGCGAGAACCGGAACCGGCGGTTTCTAGAAAGTTAGAACCGGAACCGGAACCACTCTAGGCAGTTCTTAAATGTTTGGAACCAGTCCCGGAACCGGCGGTTCCGGTTCCGGGAGCGGGTAACCTGGTCGCATTAATTTTGTTATTTTTTTGACAAAACCGCAATTTAGTTTGATCCAAATCAAATCAATTCTGACCAAGACAGATAAAATCGGACCAATATATTCTAAACCGGTATAAGTAACACACATTTATATGAAATTATATATATATATATATATATATATATATATATATATATATATATATATATATATATATATATATGTATAAACCGGTTCCGGCGGGTACCCAGCGGGTAGCAATTCCAAAAAAAACGAGAACCGGAACCGGAACCGCATAAGGCGGTTCCAGTTCCAAAACTGGCAGTTCCGAGGCGATTTCGGTTCCAAAAGCGGGTACCCGGTTCCGATGCTCATCCCTATCTCTACCTCCAGTCGCCGGTACTGACTCCGACCACCTAGCATTGTCGAATGGCTCTTGCCATCACTACAGCGAAGACTGATGGAAACCGGGAATGGGACATTGCATCAGTTGAAGAGTGGAAGAGGAGTGGACGTTGTGGGTGCCTCCGATTCGTGATTTTCTAGCCGACGATTACCATCTTGCAGTTGCATCACCGCTACCACTTCAATAACGGTTCCATCTTCGGCCGTTGTTGCTCATTGCTACTACCCGTTCTCCTGTTGTTACGCTCTTGTCTGAGTTTTGTTGCCACCATGAGCCACCGACCATCGCAGTGAAGCACCTTGCTCCTAATGATGTGCTAAGCGGATTGTCGAGAGGAATTCGTCAAGACTAAGGAAGGACGCTGCCAAACCCTAGCCACCACCTCTTCCGTCTTCCCATGTCGCTACTACCGCTAGTTTCTTTTCTGCCACCCTTAACTATCGCGTATGGGTGGATGTGGGTGTTTTATAGTGTGTGTATGTGTGTTTTTCACTTGTAAGAGGGACTACATGAGCGTTTTTTTGGCCGGAGTTCACGAAAAAGCCACCACCACCACCGTAAGGTGGTGGCTGCCGCCATGCGTCACCATCGGCCACCACAAGGAGGTTATGTGTGTGTGTTTAACTTAGTTGTGTGTGTGTACTTTTGGTATTTTCATTGTAAATTGTAACAAAAATGGAATAATGGAAAGAAAGTCAAAACCACCACCGTGAGGTGGTGGCTGCCACCACCGGCCGCCGTGCCGGGTGGCGGTGTGACTTGTTGGATCATGACTCGTTTGGATGTTTGGACAAAGGGACTAATAAACCCTAATGGTCCCAATAAGGCTTATGGGCCTAATAAACCCTAATGGTCCCAATGAAGCTTAATGGACCTAAAAGCCCAAACAGATGACTTATGGGCCTAGTGAAACCCTAATGGGCCTAATGAACCTTAATTGATCAAAAGACCTAGCTATTGGGCCTATTGGGCTAAGATGGTGTTGGAAACCCTAATTAGAGTTTTGAAAACCCTAATATCGGATTTATGGGATTGGACTTATCAGGACCTACATTTGGGCCATTGGAATGGAATTGTGTATTAAGCCGAATCACACCATATGATTTAATTAGAAGAATAATGGACTTAATGAATTAAGTCCTTAATGGGTTAAGTGTAAAACACTTAACCCTAATTGTCATTTTATATGAACCCCTAATTTCATTTGGGTTTATTGTTGGGCCTTGATGATTGGATTTATTGTTGGGCCTTTCTATTGGGCCTCGAAGACTATCAATAGGCCATCCAAGATCAAGCAAATGGACTAGAATAATTAATGGGCTTCGAGGTAAGGCCCATATAAGGAGTTGGGCCTAATTTGGAAAATTAGGCTATAGATGGGCCATAGTTTGGGCCTTTATGATTATGTGATATTGGGCCATTAGAATGTTGAATGTTGGATTGGAATAAATGGTTGGGCATTATGGTAAGACCTTGTAAAGGTTTGGGTCTAATTTGGAAAATTGGGTCATATGTTGGGTTTTGACTCATAGTTGACTTTTGGGCCTTTGGATTGGGCCTTGGGCTTGAATAAAGGTAAGTTAGGGGTAAAGTAGTATTTACCCCTAAGTATATATTTATGGTTATGTGATGGACCCCAATTATTAACTGGGTGATGTTTTGATATTGACAGTTCGGGAATCTGTCATCCAGCAGTTAGGGGTTATGTCTACGGGACTTCAGCAGTGTGAGGTGAGTTACCTTCTAGTAGAGTGGGTCTAAGGCACCAAGGCCGACTTACTAGTAGTTGATTTCAGTTGAGATGATTGTCTTTGTGATAATTGTATGGTTTGCTATTACTTGATGTGTTCTATGTGCCAGTATATTATGTCTATGTGATAGTAATAGTAAGAGGGGAATAGTCCACCAATCGGTTGTTAGAACCGAAGGGTAGGTCGGACACCCCAGATATGTCTGACAACATGCTTATCATATGTTATGTTGTGATAGTAGTAGGGGTGAAATAGTCCCCATGACCGGGTGAGATAGACCAGATGGTAGGCAGGCACCCTAGAATGGTCTGACATGGGTAGTCAGCACCCCAGAATGGCTTGACACGGGTAGTCAACACCCCATAATGGCTTGACATGGGTAGGTCGGGCACCCCAGAATTCCCCGACAGTATGTATGTTATGTGATTATATGGTATGTGGTATGATGGAGGAACTCACTAAGTTTTGTGCTTACGGTTTTCAGTTTTGGTTTCAGGTACTTCGTTTTCAAAGGAAATGAGTCGGCTTGATCGCAGCGCATCACACCATGTTTTTCGCACACGAGATCTTTGAGATTACACTTTGATATGGTTTTATGATACTATGTTATGATTATTGACACTTTGGTTTTGACATAAGATATTATTATAAATGTTTTTATACTGATGGTTTTATGTAACAACTTAATTAAAACGAAATTTTTGACCTGTATTTTTAGGATGTTACATGATCACTAGAAACTTTATAGGAAAATTTACTCTAGTAAATAAAGATCTTTTTTGTCATATGTCATACTCTTATTCATTTTGTTACATGCCATTTTGTGATAATTTTAAGTTTTTTTTTTTCACATGTCATTTTATAGTTTTATACATTTTATTAAATTCCATATAATATTTAAACGTAAAAATTGCAATAAATGTAATAATAAATAAATATCAATTTCATTAATAAACGTTCCTTCTAATTTCAAAATTCATAAATTAAACATTATTAGTTTCTTTTGTTTATTTATTTAAATTATTTGTTTAAAGCTAAAAGAGAAAGTAACACTTCTTGTTTAATAATTCAATATATTTTATTTTTTTCTTACAAATTTAAACTTTTTAAATATTTAGACATTTATATTTAAGAGGGTGTTTGGGATTTTTTAGAATGACTTTTGACTTTTAATTTTTTTAAAAAGTCAAAAAAAAAAAAAAACAAAAATGTGTTTGGGTGATAAAAAGGTTATTTTAAAAATGACTTTTTGTATAGAAGAAAAAAAATATTTCTAAAAGTTATTAAAATGTGACTTTTTGTGGTTTTTAGTTATTTTACATATAAAAATTATATCGAACATTTTTAAAAATAATTTTTGACTTTTGCTCCTTAAAAGTTAATCCAACCATATTTTAATAAACTTTTTTCTACAAAATATAATAAACTTTTTTTTACAAAATATCCTTTTACGAAAAGTCTTTTTTTTAAAGGTTAAAAAGTAATGTAAACACTTTCTAACTTTTGTGGTATCTTCCTCAACGGCTTCTTGCCAAATATGACTATTGGATTAAAATAGCGGGTACTATTAGTTTTTTTTTTTTTTTTGCCAAAAAATGAAAAGAGGATGGAAAGCGGTAAATTAAAATTTGTATATAAAAGGGATAAGATCATATACTCATATTTGCAATTTACTTTAATTATTGTAATTTTTTTTTTGTCTGGTTCTTATTTCTCTTTTATAAGTAAGGCGTTTTTTTAATCTCAATATGATTTATAAAACAAAAAATATAGAGTATGTGACTACAGGCGTAGCTGAATTAATTTAGAGGCTCTAAGCAAATCAAAAAATTAGGACCCTTTAAGTAAGTAAAGGGTTCTGAAAGTGAGATCTTTAATTTTATAAACCAATTCAAATTGTCTTTATATCCTCAAAAATACGTTTATATATATATATATATATATATATATATATATATATATATATATATATATATATATATATATATATATAAACTTTTTATAAGCCATTGATTAGTTTTTATAATGTAGAGTCGGCTATGTGTGACTAATTAACATAACTGTACCCTAATGAATTTTCCAAATATTTTTCTAATTAATCTTTTCACTATTAATAAGAGTGTATAAATATTTTTCGTAAGTAAAAACACCAAAATTGCTACAAGAAGTTCTCTAAAAATAATCAAATTTTGTTTTAAGAACTAGAAATATAGTTTTAACTTAATGAATGGGACTCGTCATATCCTCATTGATCTGGTCTCCCCGAAAAGGGTAAACGTCATTAGTAGAGCCTTGCTTGTATCCAAGGTGAAAGTACGTAGGATATATGAAAGTTTCACATATTTTTTTAAGGTGACAGTCGGACATATGACACTTCACATGTACACGTTTTGTAAATGCATAGGTTTTTTTCTAATGATTCTCAAACACAGACGAGTATTTTGACATGAAATTCCACATATGTAGTGAATTAAAATATAAACTGGGCCTTTTTTTTAATACTAAAATGTTTTACTATTAATTATCTTATCCTAAAATTCCTTTATGACTTATGTTATGAAATAATCGTTTGACCATGTCCAAAACTTGGTTAATAAGACTTTCATAATTCAGTTTTTAACACGTATGGTTTAGCATTTAATTAACTCATTATCTAAGAATAATTAAAGCACCAATTCAAAGATGGAGAAGTTTATGCTATGCACATTAATGTTGTTTGTCATGACATGGTTTGTTCATGTAAACGGTATTCTCCATTTGGGTTCTGAATGCTCACAAACTGGAAACACAACTGGTAATACCATCTACCAAGCAAACCTTAAAACCCTTTTAGATTCTCTAGTCAACAACTCACCTCTTCAAGGAGGATTCATGAATACCACCATCGGAACTGGTTCAAATCAAGTTTATGGTCTTGCATGGTGTCGAGCAGATGTTTCTCCTAACACATGCTCCAAGTGTTTGAACGAATCCATTAGCGTACCTTTAAGAGATTGTCCTGAAAGCAAAGACTTGGTGATATGGTCGAGTTTGTGCAGTTTAAGGTTCTCAAACAAGAGTTTCTTTGGTGAACTTTGGAACAGCTCTTCATCATCAAGCTATGGTGGAAACACACTCGATGAAGCTTCAGTGTTTTCAAGAGGGTTTGCGATGTGGAAGGACTAGGTAGGAATGTTTCTGATCAACCGTTGATGTTTGATACTGATGTTATTGATGTTGGGAATGATGGAAAGAGATACGGGTTGGGTCAGTGTAGTAGAGATTTGAACAAGTTGGATTGTGAAAATTGTTTGGAGGAGCTTTTAATGACTTATCGAAGGTATGTGATGAATCGAACTGGTTGGGAGATGTTAGGAGTGAGTTGTGGTTTGTGGTATGATGATGTTGACAACGATTCAGGGTTGACTCCGACACCAATCGGTTCAAATACGGGTATTTTACTTTCATTTGTGATTTTTAAAAACTTAATTATAGATTAATTATCAAATATTGATTATTTGATTAATGTGATGCAGGAGGTGGAGAAAGGTGGTGCAAAGGAGATTATGTGATCATCTTGGCTTTTGTAGCATTTCTCTTATTCCATTGGATTGCATGACTTCTACAGTTCTAGTATATATAATCATTATAGTTTCGATAGAAATGCAAATAGTTCTTTTTATGGTTGTTAATTTGTTAAATGAATGGTGTAGGTGGTAATTTCTTATTGTTTTATAATCTTCAGTTGTGAATAAAAATGTATAAGTGGTTTAAAGAAAAAGTATTTGATAATAAATTGCATGGTTATTGAAATCCATATGTGTGGTTCATAAAAGCTCTAGTTTGGTTTTTCTTTTTTCTTTTTTGGTAACAATTTAATTTGTTTTGGTTTTGGTCCATCATATCCAAATTCAAATTAAAAATCTTTCTGTTCTTCATTTATTTTCTTTATTAAGTATTATTATCATTATTATATATTACTAGAAACAAAGACATTACCAAATTTTCTATCTGAAATCAATCACTAATTGCTAACATTGACAGATTAGCGACCGGATAAACCAGTTTTAAGTCGGTGAATACTGCAATGGATTTAACAAAGAACATCCTGAATTCCTGATTGACGGTTTGCGACGGATATACTGTCGCAAAGTTTTCGAATTCATTTGGATTTCATCGCTAATTTTATTGTTAACAGCAGTTATAGTTCCGATTTTGCATACCGAATTTTCTGTCACTAATTGTTGTTGTCATTTATTTGTTACAATTTTAATTAGCTGAAGTTCCTTCTGTCGGATCAATCAGGAAATTCACAGGAGCCTCTTTTTTGGTTGAAACTCCAGCACGCTTACATATATCGACCAAAAAATCCCTAACCATATGTTGTCTGTATTTGAACCCCGGGAGTTCATTGCAATGAACCTCATGCTCACCGAAAGAGTTCATACATGTCTTGCGGCACACTGAACAAATCTCATTGGCCGGGAACATTAGAATCATAAGTCGATATTTGAGGATAGTACGATACTCCGCAAGAGACATATGTTGGTCAAGCCCATCTAAAGTTAATCAGTCTTGAGATGTTGATCTGATCTACCGGAAAAGGGTAAACATCATTAGTATAGCTTGCTTGTATATAAGGAGAAAGTAGGATGTATGAAAGTTTCACATATTTTTTTTAAGGTGAAAATAGGACATATAACATTTTTCCCATGACATTCTCAAACACGGCGACTATATCTCGACATAAAATTCCACATATGTAGTTAATTTAAAAATGCGCCTTTATTTTTATACTAAAATGCTTTACTATTTATTATCTTATCATAAAAAAATAAAATCCCTTTGACTTATGCTATGAATTAGTCATTTGACCATGTCCAAAACTTGGTTAATTAACTTTCATAATTCAGTTTAACACGTATAGTTTACCATTTAATTAATTCTACTCGTCAACCAAAACTCAGCTTATTAATAGGCCAAACTCTAAGAACAAAACACCAATTCAAAGATGGAGAAGTTTATGCTATGCACATTAATGTTGTTTGTCACGACAGGATTTGTTCATGTAAACGGTAAAATTCTCTATTTGGGTTCTAAATGCTCACAAACAAGGAACACAACTGGTAATTATAATACCATCTACCAAACAAACCTTAAAACCCTTTTAGATTCACTAGCCCACAACTCACCTCTTCAAGGAGGATTCATGAATACCACCATTGGAACTGGTTCTAATCAAGTTTATGGTCTTGCATGGTGTCGAGCAGATGTTTCTCCTACCACATGCTCAAAGTGTTTGAACGAATCCATTCGTGTACCTCTAAGAGATTGTCCCCGAAAGCAAAGGCTTGGTGATATGGTCGAGTTTGTGTAGTTTAAGGTTCTCAAACGAGAGTTTCTTTGGTGAACTTTGGAACAGGTCTTCATCATCCGGCTATGGTAGACACACACTTGATGAAGCTTCAGTGTTTTCAAGAGGGTTTTCGATGATGGAAGCATTAGGAAGAAATGTTTCTGATCGAGCATTGATGTTTGATATTGGTGTTATTGATGTTGGGAATGATGGGAAGAGATACGGGTTGGGTCAGTGTAGTCAAGATTTGAGCAAGTTTGATTGTGAAAAGTGTTTGGAGAAGCTTCTAATGATTTATAAAAGGTTTGTATTGAATCGGACTGGGTGGGAGATGTTGGGAGTGAGTTGTGGTTTGTGGTATGATGATGTTAAGTTCTCTGACAACGATTCAGAGTTGACTACTTGACTCTGATACCAATCGGCTCAGGTATCAGTATTTTAATATAAATTGATTAATGTGATGTAGGAGGTGGAGAAAGGTGGTGCAAAGGAGATTATGTGATTTGGCTTTTGTAGCATTTCTTTTATTCCATTGGATTGCATGACATAGAATCTACTATATATATGACTTATATCTTCATCTTAATAATTATGGTTTGGATAGAAATGCAAATAGTCACAAATAGATATATAAACTATCTGTATTTTTCACATATATTATCAGAATGTAAGAAACTCAAACTTTATGTTCACAAAATACACTTATTCATAGTTTTTTTTTATGATTTCCCTTGCTTCTCTTCTTATGGTACCTTTTTAAAACAATAATGTTTTGTGAAAGAAAAAATAGTTTGTTAGTTGTTAACCCATTTACGACATTAACCCAAATCAAAAACCATGTTCCATGGTGTTTGCAATTACAATAACCAAAATCAAAGAACAAGAAAAACTCAAAACCTAAGAAAATTGATAATTTTTATGTTACCAAAAAAAGATTAACACAATAGAGAAAAGTCAAACCCACTATTCAAAAATCCGAGCAAGGTCAAAATCTGGATACCTTCAAGCTAAAGTAGTTATTTTTTATTTTTTTAACGGAATTTCTTTCCAATCTGCACAAATCTGGTTACTTGAGAAAAGTCAAACATGCCTCTCTTATTGATACATTATGTTCTTCCCTTTTAGCTCCTGAAATTATAAAAATAACAAATATTAAAACCCCAAATGAACATTAAATTATTTGTCTAGACCAAATTTTTAAAAATAAATAATAAAGATGATGTAAATGTACCTTTATTTTTTTATTTGCAGCATCTAACTGATGTTGGAGCACAGATATTTGTTCTCTTTGAGAGGAACAAGTCTTCTATAAAACAAAGAGGGAATGGAAAATTGTTTAACATATTGGCACCTCATTACAGAAAGATGAGAAATTAATGTGTTAATGAAAAGACAAAACTAACCTCCATAGCAACCGATTTTAACCTGAATATACTACACTCAGCAGCAGCAGTGTGCCCTGTTCTTTCTCTTTCCTTTTCTCTGTATCTATATCTCACAATTTCAGAACCCAACTCCTGTAATTGTGACAGGTGGCGTTCACGATCTTCCCTTAGTTGAGTCAATTCATCTCTGAGGATAGCCACCTCTTTTACAGCAATTTCTTTTTGTTTCACTGCATCATCTCGTGAATCCTTTGATAATAACACAGGGTCAAATTGGGAACAAAGTATTATAATGCACTTTCAGCCAAAGTAAGAGATAAAAGACTTACTTTAGCAGAAGTGAGTTCATTTTGCAACCTCTTATACATATTTTCTTGTGTTTTGACCTGAAACAGATGATTTGAAATCAAAAACTACATTTTGTAGTTTTGCTTCTGTAAATGTTGATTCTCTTATTTATATTACCTTCTCATTAGCAATCGATGCATTCTGTTCAGCCTTTAAAAGCTTCTCCTTTAGAGAATCTTGATTCTTTTCTAAAGCCATCCTAGCTTCTTTTTCTTTATTGTGAAAATCAATGGCATTCTAGTAATTAATACAAGAGATTTGAGATAAGAATAAGAAACGAACAAGATATGATTGATAACACAGAGTTGTTAGAACAAAAAAGCTTACTAGCTTCTGTGACTCTTCATTTGCCAAACTTTTTTTTAAAGTAGATATATTGTTTTCCAATTTGATAATAGTTGAGTTCAACTCTTCCTCCTTAAGTTTCATTGCAGCCTCTGTAAACAGATAAAAGAAACTGTTAAGATGAAGTTGTTTCTTATATATTGAAGTTACTTTACTT